CACAAAGCCAGGGCTAGGTCTGGGCTGGCAAACAGCCCCACGGTGCCCTGAGCCCAGCCAGGCAGAGGCACCAAGCTCCTGTGCAGAGCAGCGGCTGCAGCAGCACTCGGTGCAGGGCAGAGCCTCTCCAGGGAGGGGTGTGCTGCAGGCTGGGGGTGGATGGCAGCAGCCAAATCACATCTGCACAGCAGCACAGCAGCACAGCCACGGCAGCGGCAGCAGAAACCACTCGAGCGCTTCTCCAGTTTCTCGGTGGGTTTTGAGGTGCACAGTGACACAGCCCTKGTGTCGCTGCCACACCCTCGGGCTCACAGGATCGTGCTCAGCTCTTCGGGTTAAAACCCCAAATAACAACAACAACAGCACACACGGGCTCGCTGCACCAGCCAAGAGTGATTGCAGTTCACTCTGGTGGTTTTTTTAACATGAGTTTTCCCTTTCTGGCGTGGCCACTTTGGAACATGCCAGTGGGGTCAGCACTAGGCAGGTCAGCTGGAACATGGGGCTCTGAGGGGACATTTGGTTTGTTCACTCCTTCCCTAAGCACGAGTTCCTCTGGGAAAGCTCTGCCTGGGGCTTGGAGAATCTGGAAAGCTCTGCCTGGGGCTTGGAGAATCTGGAAAGCTCTCTGGGGCTTGGAGAAGCCGTGGAGCTGCAGAAGCCCAGCTGGCCCCAGGGGCTGGCAGGAGCCCTGTTCTGCTGCTATGGTGTGTGCCCGCTCCTTACCTGGTCCTTGAGCTCCGAGAGCTGCCCAGACAGGTTGGTCACGAGCTTCATGGTGGACTCCAACTTCTCCTGCAGGTTCCTCAGCTCGTTCTGCTCTCCCTCTGAGTCGCTGCTGACCAGAGACATGGCCCTCATGCGGGGGAACCAGTCGAGGTTTCTCTCCTGCAGGACACACACCAGGGCACGGTTAGAGTTTGCACACAGAGCTCCAAAGCCACGGGAATTCCTCAGATGCACCAGCTCTGCTCTCAGCTGCAGTTATCTGCACTTATCTGTATTTGCATCTCACTGGAARGTTTGCAAAGTGCCTGCCCAAAATGCTGCCAGCTGCTGGGAAGGAGCTGCTCAGTGCTCCCTCACTTCAGGATAAATCCACCGCCACTGGACATTAAACCAGCCCACATTTCACCTCTGGACAAGCATTWCCCAGAGCTAGAAATCCGCTGCTATCTTACAATCTGTTGTGTTTGTGGAAGATTTTCTGCTTTTTTGGTCAAGCAAAGCTTGGCTGTGCTCTCTGATGAAAGAAAGCAAGTTCTACCTGGAAATTCTTCCATAGTTGAAATACTTCCTTTTTTAATGAGAAAGAAAGTCACATTTGGACCGTGTGCTTCAGGTTAAAATATGGAGCAGATAGGTTACAATGCACTGCTTGTAGCAGAGTTTTCATTCAGCCATACAAATTCTCTAATATTCCAGATTTAAATGACAGCCAGGAATGTCCCTGGACACTCAGTGAGTTTGAGRGGCAGGTACAGACTCACACAGGCAYCCGGGTGCACGCCAGAGATGTTAAAAATAAAGGCAGGAGCGGAACAGAAAGCCACAAGAGAGGAGGAGGGGTGCACCCCACGTCCTGACACCTTACAGTTCAACATCACACTGGTTTCCCATCTCGTCTGGTTGCCCTCCCACGCTGGAGATGTGCTCTGAAACGGAGCTGAACCCGGGCTGGTGTGCTCAGGGCGTGTGTGCTCTCATAGGTGACACCGCTGGGAGGGTGATGGGTGACTGTGATAGTGCCAAGGGATGCCTTAATCAAAAATCAATCAGCACTGCTGATTACTGGTGCCCCAGGCATGCCCTGCTGTGCCAGGCTCTCCTCTGGGCTCACAGCTCCTCTGTGCAATGCTGCAAACTCTCAGCTCCCCATCATTCCTGCCCAAACCCCCAGCTCCAACTCGCTTCCCCTCCGTGCTCCCAGGAGCATCCACCCTGCTTCAGCAGGGCTCTGCACCTCCACWGAGAGCTCCAGTCACATCCTCTCTGCAATTCAGATGCGATGCCAAGACTCATCAGCTTAAATTAGCTGCTTCTGCTCTGCCTGGAGTTTCCTTTTGCCAGGATGAGAAGGCAGAAAGCAGGCCCTTTCCCATGCAGGCACCACAGCGTTCCCACGTGATGCAGAACTGCCAGGAAGGCTGTTTGCTCCTGATCTCTGTTTACAGGGCAGATGGTTTCTGCTAATAAAAGAAAAAATAAATAAAAATCTATGTACAAAAAAAATATGCCTTCACCGAGACAAGTGCCAAAATATTTTGGACTTTAGGGAACGCCAGTCCCACAATTAAGGTTTAATAGTAGGAACAGGCAGCACTGCTCTGTGTTCTTCCAGCTCTAGTAAAAGCCTCATTAGGGAGGAGGGGGCAGCTCAACATTTGTGCTCGGGTCCAGCATCTCCCACCCAGGGAAAACAAACCACACCAACTGCATTTCCCTCTGCTCCTCCAGGAAAGAAACAGGGCCAGAGGACGAGGAAAACCAGACTGAAATGCAATCTCCATTTGCAGGTTTGCCTCAGGCCCGTGTCCTGAGGTTTCCAGGCAGACACAAGAGCCCTGMAGCTCCTGCCTGCCCCTTTCTTACTCCAGAAATGTTTTCCTTGTTCCCAAACACGTTTCTAAGGCCATCCCACAGCATTCCCAGGCCCCATCCTTGAGAAGRATGAAAGGGAGGAGGGAAGCACCGACCTTCCCTACCTGCAGTGTTTCATAACAAACACCCCAAACACTTTCCATCATTACTCTGCAATTTCAGCTGCTGCAGAGGCTGCTGTGACTTGATGGTTCCAGGCTCAAAAGGTGAAATCAAACAGCACCCACAGCTTCTGCAGCCTCCTCAGAGCTCCCATGCTCRCTGGGTTTCTGACAGCCCCAGCCTTCAAAGTTGGTAAATCTTGGCTTAGATTTGAAACAAAACCAACAAAGCACCTCCAGTTCTCATGCCAGTGTTCAAAGACTAAAACCAAACCACGTTTCACGTGAGCCCCACAGGCTGAGGAAGGGGAAGGCTGAGGAAGGGGACACTCACTGCCCTCTGGGGCATCTCTGGGATGGAGGGCAGAGCTCACTGGAAACTCCYCATGCAGGACCAAACTTTGGGAAGGAAATGAAAATCCCTGTGCCCACCCTGGGAAAGGGGTAATGGGGCACCTGGAATTCCCTGTGCAGGGCCAGCCTTGGGGAAGGATCTGGGCATCTCTGTGCCCACCCTGACCAGGCAGCACTGACCCATGCACCACCAACCCAGGGTGTGTCTGGACATGTCCAGCTGCCACCCAACAACAAATAGGGGGTGTCCACCCAAACAGGGATGGGAAAACACRGGGGGCAGAGGTRCAGATARATCCYRGTGTGTGCAGGAAATGCAGGCACCAGGCAATGCCAGCCCAGGGAATCTGCAGGGGCCAGCAGGGAGGCTGCCAGCATGGTGGGACCCAGCTCTGCCTCCTGCACACACTCCTCATCCTGGATTTACATGGAAAACCTTCAGGCTGTTCTTCAGGGGAGCTGGATGTGACCAGGCTGCTGACACAGCCCATCCCTGTCCCTGCTGCGAGCGCGGGGGTGTTTTCTTTCAAATAAATAAATATTTCAGTGGAGCCAGCAGCAGCAGAAGGGAGCAGGAATGCTGAAAGGTCAGGGGATGGTGATCCTGCTGGGCCAGCCCGGCTCCCGGCGCTGCTGCTCGGGGCTCAATAAAAGATTTATATCTCCATGATCCAGTTTCTGCTGAACTTCAGCTCAGCCCCGGGGTGCCTTTGGAGACATGGCCTCACATCCCTGCGGGGCCTCAGAGGGGTTTCAGAGGCACTGAGGGAGCTCCCAGAGGAGAGGCTGCCCGGGCTGGTGGCACCCACGGACCGGTGCCCTCTGCACCCTCTGCTCGGGGATCACGGGGTGCCCCCAGCTCCCCATTCCCACATTCCCGGGGTGCCCCCAGCTCCCCATTCCCACATTCCCGGGGTGCCTCCAGCTTCCCGTTCCCACATTCCCGGGGTGCCTCCAGCTCCCCATTCCCACATTCCTGGGGTGCCTCCAGCTCCCCGTTCCCACATTTCTGGGATACCCTCAGCTCCCCATTCCCACATTCCTGAGGTGCCTCCAGCTCCCCATTCCCACATTCCTGAGGTGCCTCCAGCTCCCCATTCCCACATTCCTGAGGTGCCTCCAGCTCCCCATTCCCACATTCCCAGGGTGCCCTCAGCTCTCCCTTCTCAGGATCCCAGGGCACCCTCAGCTCCCCATTCCCACATTCCCGGGGTGCCTCCAGCTCCCCATTCCCACATTCCTGGGGTATCCCCATCTCCCCATTCCCACATTCCTGGGGTGCCTCCAGCTCCCCATTCCCCCATTCCTGGGGTGCCTCCAGCTCCCCATTCCCAGATTCCCAGGGTGCCTCCAGCTCCCCATTCCAGGTTCCCAGGGTGCCCCCAGCACGGGCACCCTCCCTGTGCTGCAGCGCCGGAGCGCGCGGAGCCGCTGACGGAAGCCGGCTGACCGCAAGGGCTGCATTTGGGGTTGCAGCTCTTTTCTAGGTAAAGTTGGAAAMGTCCCTTTTGTAAGGAAATATCGCAGCCTCTCAGCCACGGGGGTGACGGTGCCGACCATCCCTGCTTGGAAACGCGAGGAAGAGGAAGAGGAAGCGGTGCTGCGTGATGCACGCGCGATTATTCTGAGAAGARCCCGCTCCTCGCCGCTTCTCTTGGTTCTGAGAAAGGCTGAGCTGTGCCAGGAGAGGATGGGGATGGGGCTCTCCTCACCCCCAGCACTCACCACTCCTCTCCATTTATCCAGCTACYCAGGAGTCACGGGGTGCTGAAGGGTGAATTCAGCCCCCTGCAGAATAAATMCCTACAGCTGCCAGCAAAAGGCTGCCCAGCAGCATCATTTCCACCCCCAGTGATTCTGTAAAAGCTCTCCAAGATCACCAWGCCCAAGCTGTGCCCGATCCCCACCTTGTCAGCCAGCCCAGAGCACTGAGTGCCACCTCCAGCTGTTTCTTGAACACGAGCAGGGAAAGGCAGCAGCAGCAAATTTCAGTTTCTGTCAAGGGGAGTGAAAAATCAGCCCCACACAGCCACCAAAGAGCTCTGTGAAACACTTTGAAAATTCATCTGTTTGTTTGTGGTGAGATGGGACTCCTCTTGGGCCTTTCTTGAGCTTCCTGGAAAAATCCCCACACCAGGTTCTCTGTCTGCTGCCAAGGGCTCACCTCATTTCTTCCACCCYGAGCTGCACTTCTCCCCTCTATAAMAAACCAGCCCTCSATGGTGTYGYCCCTCCACACTCAGAGCATTTGCAKCTCCTCACGTRCTCCATGTTTTTTCCACAGGAGGTTTAGGGTGCAATAACCTCCTTTTCTCAGTTGGGCTGGTGCAGAGCAGGGAACCTGGAGCACAGACACCGTTCCCAAAGGAGGAGGATGGCACTGCCCTACAACCCAAAGGGGGAGGATGGCACGGCCCTACATCCCAAAGGGGGAGGATGGCACGGCCCTACATCCCAAAGGAGGAGGATGGCATGGCCCTACATCCCAAAGGAGGAGGATGGCACGGCCCTATAACCCAAAGGGGGAGGATGGCATGGCCCTACAACCCAAAGGGGGAGGATGGCACAGCCCTACATCCCAAAGGAGGAGGATGGCACGGCCCTACATCCCAAAGGGGGAGGATGGCACGGCCCTACATCCCAAAAGAGGAGGATAATATGGCCCTACATGCCAAAGGGGGAGGATGGCATGGCCCTACATGCCAAAGGGGGAGGATGGCATGGCCCTACACCCACCTCCCCAGCTGGACAGGACACAGCTCCCTGCCCTGCCCGGGGCTGGCCTGGCTCTGGCCATGCTGCTGTCACTGTGGCTGCTGTCACCGTGGCCGC